ATATACACGGTGCCAAATCCCAGAAGACTGCTTTCTTCAAATTGAAATTATGTCACTTTGTAAATTTAATGACATACACGCATCTTCAGCCATATTAAACTACAATATTTTGGAACCCTATCTTAATCCATACCCAGTGACTGCCAGGAGGAGGCTTTAGTATCAATGTAAACATTTATTAAAACTTCACATAATATTTGTAATGTAGAGACTAATTATATATAACCGTTTCACTGAAAACATCACATTTTCATGAACTACAATCTACAATCTGCTGGATTGTAAAGGTATTATAAGAATATACCAACTGTTACTATCTCTGCAATTTTATTCCAATCCATGGTAGGTATAACAATAGGCAACATGCTGAAACCTAACATAATGACAATTTAATTTGCAAAGCTATTACCATATAAAGTATTATCCAAAATGTTCAGTTTATCATCCTTCTCATTAACTGTTAACAAGTTATTCCAAGAAAAAACTAAATTTCTACCATTCATAAATTATGTTACAAAGAAATAAGAAATCTGTAATAATATAAAGCAATTACTGACCATGAGCTTGCTGAATTTTTGACTCTTAGATTCAAAAATAGTAAGAAACTAAATAACTCTGGTGTTTCTTACTTCTTCATTACACCAACAATTACCTCAATATTTTATATACAATATTATCTTTACTTTTATTGTGTAGGTTGTTGTATGCTGCACTTACATATTATTAGTACAAATAAGAGGCTTCTATTACACAAACATTATGTACTTTACATTCAAAATATTTTGTTTCTGATGTAGAAATTCTGTACAAACACCTTCTATTAATATCTACTCATCTGTATAACTACAGGTTCTATAATTGACTTTCTTATTACACATATAAAATTAACACAAAATTTGGCCTAAATACGTGTTTACTCATTATAAAGAAACAAAAAAATTCTAAATGTGCAACAATCTAACAAGTGACATAAAAGCAACTCAAATTTTTCTCAATTATTTTTTATGTTTATGTCTTTTGTATAAATCAATAACAATTCAAGCTGCATAGTGTTTACAATAATGCTGTAAGACAGTTTTCATATATTGTTACACGGGTTCTTGTTACGAAAATATATGTACACAACTACACAACACACCACAATTCTTATACTACATGTGTAAAAACTTCACTTTAGGCTGCCTTCTTATCCACTCAGTTTCATGGTCCACTTTATAGCCATTTCTGAGACAACACAATTTCTACATTTGCTCATGTAATTGTCACACTCAGGTCACTGCTCAATTCTAGAAAAATAGAGAGAAATTGTTGCATCTGACATCCAACATAAACGCTCATTAACATATTTGTCTCATTCCCTTAATTATGAAACAAAAAAAACATACAACATTACAAGAAAAATAAAATGTGTATCAGTGTAATTACTACTTACATATTCTTTTACAACTTTTAGGATATAAAGTGCCTGATGGTAATGTATTATATAGTTTGCATCTGTGTATACGAAGTAAAGTTAGAACTTGTATTACATATGCCCTTTTGTTGCATAACATCCAGTTACTAATAATGCAATATTGATGGCAACTGAAGCCATAATTATACACTAAAAGAAAAATGTTCCATTTCATCAAACATATCTCTACAGTTCATAAATATGCATACAAAAACTAATTTAATAGAGTTAAAAGTTAATGTCACGATGTTATGTAGCAGTCTTGAGGATCAGAATGGTAAACTTTCAAAGAACCCTGAAGCTGCAAAGAACTGAAAAGTACAAAATGAACTATAATGTATAACAAAAATCAATCATATTGTTCAAAATGATATAAACAAAAGATGAAAATGAAACATGATGTGACTGAGAAATAGCCCTTTCATTTTTGGGAAAGCTTCAGTTTGTATTCAGTTAATTAAAAATTAAATATAAAGTGTAATCTTAATGTAACATGAAACTTTACTTGAAAATATGTAGCTACAGCAATTCTTAGTATAACAAGTGAAGCATCACTGTGCATTTACAATGTCAACAGCAAAATGGGGAGTACTGGTGCGTAATCATATTGAAGTCAGTATGAATTCCACACTTGGTAATTCTACTACAAAGTTACTCATTTAGAAAGAGCCCTGGCTATCAATGAGCAGAAACAGGACATGGCACTGAAGATGGAACCGAACAGGTGGAGGAGACAGAAAGTGGACTGTTGCAGTTCAGCTAGTGCTGCATTTGTGCTTGCTTTGATGCTGATACACTGTGTAAAAAAGTTGTGTTCCCATTCAGTAGTAGCTCTGCTACATGCCACCCATACTAATTAAGTTAGGTTAGAAGGTAAATCACAGATAGTCTAGAGAATATTACATTTAAGCATTCTGTTGCACTTTATACGACATGTGATATAACTCTGTCCTAAGTGCAAACTATATTTATAGGTCTTTCGTTTTGTTCCTCTCTACACACTACATGTTTCGGGCCCAAACGGCCATCATCAGGTGTATACACTCACGTATCTGTTACACTGCACTTATTTATAACATTTAAAATTTAAAAACATAGGTCTTCCTGGTTAGCACTTATAAAATATTCGGTTCTAATTTTAAATACTTTAAAATTTTTTTTCTCTAAACTTTAAATTTTAAAAATGTCAGGGTTACTCGCCCTATGTCTATAGTGCTGCAGTGGCTTCTTCTTGTTTCTAGTATTGTATAGGTGTTATTCTGTGTAGTCTTCTTGTGTGTGTGTTGCTGCTGCTTATTTTTACTACATGTTTTGTCTGATGTATTGTAATGTTGGATGTACAACACTCGCAGCTAAGAAGAGAACACACACCACAAGACACGGTGAGTACTAAAACATTATAATACAACACATAACAGATAGAAGCTGAAAGTAATAATAAGTACCTTTTTTCACGTTGCAGGTTTACACAGAAAATAAGAAAAACGACCCCATAGTGAATGAACCACACGCAAGTTTTAATTAAGACACATAAGATGAATAATCTTAACAAGTTTTAGTGAGTGTAAATTTATTATAGTTGACAAATACGCACTTTTTAAATACTTCTTAAATGGTGTTGTGAAGACATATGAGGGCAAGCAATGCAATAGATTAGCGTAATTAGGGCACCTGATGATGGCACTATGTTGCCAAAACATGTCGTGAAGTAACAGGTGAAATTGAGTGCACTACAAGATGGCCACTGTATACATATCATGGATGAAAATCAGTGCAACAGGACACTAAAACACAACATTATAAATTATTTTATGCAGCATGATTACAGTTTCCAAGATTTAATGGTTTGAAAAATTGTAAATATTAAGAATGGTGCAGTATTTAAGAAATCATTGTTCAAGGTCCTTTTGTAAACTTTCATATATTTGGAAATATGTAAGTCAACATGACGACTAATAAAGTAATGCTACCTTGACTGCAGAAAATGTACAGTGACATGAAAGATACTGATGCTAGGGAAAGGATTTCATATTCCAAATATTTAAATGTGATGTGTATATTACATCTATTTAAGTGTTTTTCTTGTAACCATAAACCAAAATAACTGAAAATTGTTAACAAAAAACTGTTCCTGAAATTACATTTACAGCCTCAAAGAGAACAAAGAAACATAAAAGAATATACTATAAAGTTCTAGTGGTAAAAGACAATCTTTCAGAAGTACTGAGACCACTTTGGTGGCTGGAAACTGTCATACACCTGGGTCAAAATACTGGTCACATTTACTTCAGCTAATGCTCCATAAAACATCAAGTTAAAATTTTGTATCCCAAGCAAATATACCTACCAGCATAATTTCCACATGATAGTACTTGCGGGAAGACACAACACACTGCTCTGGCATGCCAATTTGTGGCAGTGGTTCACCATGCTTGTTTTAAGTTTTCAATTTGCTTTTATACAATAGGTGATGCTTTACACTTACATTATTCATATATCAGTTATACAGGTTCAGGTTTCTAAGTAATTCATATGCTACATACAGAACCATAGAGAACAGCATAGCTTTAATAAAACTGTTCTTACTGTATATTTCTTCTTGTAGCTTTTCTGACTGCACAGATTATATACTAGAGCACCAAACGTGTACCTTCATATCACTTAGCAACAGACTTGGAATATTAAAACTACAAATCCAACAGATGAAAACATAATAACAAAACGTACATGACACTATGTTAACAAGTGTGCTGATCACATAATTAGGACAGGATGCATCACGTTTAAGAGGTTCGATGACTGAATCTTTAATTTCAACAATCACTCCAAAATCAGAAAGCAAGTCAGGACATGGTCATCAAATCTCAGAATTCCTGAAACTCCCTGACCACCTGAGAATCTAACACCTCCCTTGAAGTTATCATGGACATTCATAAAGGTTTATTTTTCTGACTTTGAGAACATATCTTAAGAGACTGAGAATAAAACCTTATTAAATATTTAAATAGTGAAAACAAAACTATGAACTTCTAATTCACATTTGATTGATTAACCTCAACTGTCTGTGAGATGCCCTATTATAAAAGTGCATGCCTGTGGTTAGCTGGCTAAGCATTATATTCTCTTCCAGCACTATAACTGTTACCTGTAACTTAAAAGCTGACCATAAGCTCCTATTTCCATGTCATTAAGATTAATGTACTAAAATGCACATTCCAGACTTTTATGGGTTTTTTACATGTTGAAGCATTACAAAGCAGAAAAACAACATACGGTTCACAAGCAGTTACTTGAAGTCCAGGAAACCATATGGCATAAATTTGAACTGCATACTGTACACAGAAAGTTTCTCGCTAAGAAATGTTCAGATAATTAAGACTTAATGAATTTTTCATATGAACCACTACCAACTATGCATTGTAGTGCTCAATGAACCGCATACATGATACAGCCAGCCAATACAATTAACCCCTGAAATAAAATGTGGCCACCAGTCCAATAATATTGTATAATTTAAAATCCTCTATTCACAGATGATGACAGTTACACCTCTAAGTTAAAATATGACTGCCAGTCCCATATGATGACAAGTAACTGTTATTCTCTAAGCTGAGAAGATGTCTGTAAAAAAAAACTCAAGCAGAACAATATTATATAGACAGAACATTATATACAGTAAGGCTGTAAATTGCTACAGACATCAGTGAAAGAAGAATCAATTGTTCACACAGTAAAATCATAATATTTCCTAAGAATTTGGAAGGAAAAAATGAAGGACAGAATTGGTTTACAAAATCATGAGAAACAGCAGAAGAAAGTTGCCACAGTTTCTCTATCTTTGTGAAGAAATCTGCAGTACAGATCTCAGTACCAGTATATTATGCACTTCCTTCTTTCATGTAAGCATGGCACTTCACAAACAGTTTCTGCAGTGGTGCAGGAATGTAATATTTCCAAATAGCTGTGCACAAGCTTTGAGGTTCACCAATCTCAAAGCTTGGGACCCACTGTTTTCTGCTGATTGTTCTAGCTAGAATTTCTAAGTATGGTATATAAATTTCAAACATGTTCAAACACAATAATCTTAAAACCATTGCATCATTTAAAATATTCTTCTGTTGGTACCTACAATCAGATGCGATATATGTGGTTACCCATATTCATGAATTCACTATTCATTTTTTTTTACTTGCAATTGAGCCTCCAAGAATATATTATAGTAAATTTTCTTTGAATAGTTTGTCATGGTGCCAATTTATTAGCTTCACTTAAGTCTTCTAGCATCTAACACACACATATGCTATCGCATGCCTCATTATGCACCTCACAACTGTACCAACAACATCTCATAAAATTTACCTTTTTTCTTTCATATTTCCTTTGCACCTATGCCTCCCAAAGGAAAGAAAAACGATATCAGCAATGTAACTGGAAATGTAAAAACTGTGAAGAGAAAAAATAATAACACATAATTCATCAAAACGATACATCCTATCAGAGTCCATGACCATATACTCAGACATCTCAGGAATATATCCCTCATGAACAAAGACATATGCCTGTGATGAAAACTGTATTTTTCAATGAAAATTTACAATTTTTAATGCAGTATATTTGCCAGTACCATCTAAGTAAGGCAAGGGATTTCCTGGTACATTATGGCTGATTAAACACCACAACTGAGTCTTCATAATGAGCACTAAAATTGTTTTAATGTATTCTTTAGGGTGTCTCACAAAACATTATAGTCTGAACCTAACATACTCATAATGATAATTCTTGGTTCGACAACCTGTAACCTTCCTACAACCACAGGCAAACATGAAACTAATGTCATGTTTCTGCAGTTGAAATAGTATTACCACTTTCACCTAGTATCTACAAGTATCAATCAGTCCTCTATATAGTGGTGTTACACCACACTATTTCCTAGTCACAGAACTCCAACGTTAAACTATGGCAGCATCAGAATTTTTAAAATAAACTATCTCAGACTCGCTTTATCTTTAAATGCATATGTACACAAGGATGAAGCATTGGTCCACTGATCTGTACAAGCACTCGTTATATCCAGGGGCCCAACTCCTTCTCTAGTAGTGAGGCAGCATCAGAACGCCCCATCACCCTCAGAATGTTGAGGAGGTCTGTAACAGCTGTGGGGTCTCTATGCCTTGCTTCCCACAAATCCAAAATGTGCCCTGTTGGACTAGCTTTTGTTGCAAAGTAGTTGATGTACCTGGAATGGATTGGAGTCTTTAATTACAGAATCAGTGGAAATACAAATTTGAAAATATTTTAATCAGAAACATATAATGAATAATGTGCATTTAGTCATGGACTGCAATTTACAAACAATAAACTTAAATAACAACATACAACTTCTATAATACAAGATTTAATATCAATTTGAGGTTCTCCCAGCAGTGGTTATGAAGAGTTCTACCTTCTGGGATATAATACTGTGTAGTTTGCTGAAAGTCAACTGATGTTCTGGAGAGCATGTCATCTCCAGTTTCAGAATTGAAGAATTAGATGAGCAAGAAACCACATGAAGCAAATATCAAGCTTTGATAGAACTCACCAAGACCTTAATACATACGAGTATGTAATAAAAGATTTATGGGCACAAGCAATTTTACTACAAATTTTAGGGAAGCCAATTCAAACACAATCAACTGAAAATGAACCAAGCATTGTGGTTTACTGGTTATCATCATCATCANGATCTTCTCCATCCTTCTCCAACACCACATTTCAAAACTTTCCAGATGTTTCTGATCTACTGCCCTAAGTGTCCATGTTTCAGCCCCATACAGAGCTATGCTCCAAATGTAGCATTTCACTAGTTTCTTCCTCAAATTTAAGTCCAATTTGCTGGTAAAAAGATTCTTCTCCTTGCTAAATGCAGCTTTTGCCATGGCAATCCTGGATTTAATTTCACTAGTACACCTTCCATCATCTGTTAACAAGCTACCCAAATATTTAAAACATTTCACATTCTCCAGTTGTTTTTGGTACTGGTTATCAGTATTGGTTAAATTAATTATTGGTTATGTGTTTTAATTTAACTAATACTGGTTATCAGTATTGGTTAAATTAAAACACATATAGCCTAGGTAAAAGCATATATGCATATAAAGAGCTTTCATTTGTAGGAACATCCCACATACTATCATGCTGTTTCACCGATCAATGGACAACACTCACTCCTAAGTCAGTAGCACATTGCTGTCAGCTCTCATATTTATACAGCACTCGCTGTCTAGCCCACATTCAGAGCATTACACGCGCTAGCCAATCAGCGCTCACAATAGCAACTACAAGTCTAAGCTCTGCCCACCAAGACTGGTATAAAAGGCAGAGCCCAAAGCTCGCAATCATCAGTGAACACACTCAGTTCAGAGTGATCAGTTGTCAGAGGCATCAGCTCTTCACTGTGACCAGGCAACTGACATAGTTGCCGCAAGCCTCCAGTGACCAGGCAACTGAAGTAGTAGCTGCAAGTCTCCAGTGACCAGGCAGCGAACGCAGATGCCGCAACTCCAGCAACCAACTGAGGCAGCTGTTTCTACTTGCGCGCACAGCACTACATCACAGTCCAGACAGGCCAGCTGAATGGCCGTAAGCCTCCGCCTACTACGGAGGAGCGAAATCTGTTGGCACACTCGCGGTGGAACGAACTGCCCTTAGAGGGCTGGCCAACTTTTGAACATTCCACATATATTCTGTATACTGCTATTCTGTAAATTCAGTTTATATGATTTAATATATACAATCGTTACAGTTTCACGTGTTTGTCATTTAGAACATCAACAATCCCACACATTAATTAGCATTTACATACTAAACTGTGTTTCCATAGACATGATTACTTTGACTTACCTGTCAACATTGAGACTCTGTGCCAGCATTCTCCAGNCATTAATTAAATTTACACACCAAGGGGGGGGAGGATCATTTGGGACACATTTACATGCTAAGTATGTAACACCTCTACTAAACTGTGTTTCCATAGACATGATTAATTTGACTTACCTGTCAACATTGAGACTCTGTGCCAGCATTCTCCAGTCATTACCTCGAGCATTGGGAGGATCCAGACAAAGACACAGCTGTTTCCGAAGAGACCGATGCAATCTGGGAAAGACAGAGAAAAATGTATATGATATGCTAATAATCTTAAGCTTTAAACAGCTCCAGCATTCTATTAGACACATAGACTTCATGGAATCCAAGGAAATATTAGACAGAAATTCTTAAGAGATGCACAAAAAATCTACCAGATTAATTACTGATTAATAAGGTTTGATCTAAACTTAGAATTAATATTTCATTTTTCTTATTACTGTGGTGGAGAGTGATATCACAGTGTTCCTCTATCAAGAAAACAACTGCATTATTCATTTCACAAGTGAAATTTCACGTTTGTGACTCATCAGAACTGTACTATCCATCTAATGAAACTCTCAAATGAAAGCTGCAGTTTTAATATAATGTTTATGACTCTACATACATCAGTAAGTTACTTACCTGAAAGGTGATGTCGTAGTTGGATCCAACGTAGTTACCATTGAACTGCAGCCGCTGCTAGTTGTCACCGTGAGGGCTCGTGGGGGGCGTGACAGTGCTGGGCTACTTGGAACCTGCTTACAATTAACCAGATAATGTGAAATCCCTACTTACTAAGTCTCTGGGAGAAACGCTTTTGTTTCACTAAATGAAGGTTATGCAAAATTACATCATGAAATTGCTCATCTTCTTACAAGACTTGCTGTATACAATTGTGATAGAAGAGTTATGTTTTATAACTAATTAAAAACTATTTCTATGCATATAAATATAATTATATAATGAATAATTTCAAATTAATTTCTAAAATAATTAATGGTTCATTAAATATACATCGAAAGAACCTCAGTCAAGAATCAAAGAAACTATGATGCCACAAACAGTGGCAATGGTCCATATTTGATGTCACTTGTCAAAGACTGATTCTGTAGTAATAATTTCCAACAGAGAACAAATATTGAGTGTTGCTTCAACTAAAATCCATAGAAATGGAAAATTTATTCAATGAGCTTCATGTTATTGTAAATCCAAATTCACCAAACATAGGATAATAATACATTGTTTATGTTCAATTTTGGATGAAACAAAAAATAGTTCATTACATATGGGATTTCACCAAATGCAAGAACGCTAAATCAGGACTTCAGTTTCCAGAGAAAAATGTCTGGAACCTTCTTATGTGTTTCATACCATAACTACTTCTGAAAACTTAATTTTTCTGTACTGTTTACTTATTTTAACTTAACTTCTAAAGATATTACAAAATGACAAATATGCTTCAGCTTCTACTGATCAATTCAAAATGCAGCAATACAGAGGGAGTCTTTGAAAAAAATGGCTCTATTAACTATTTGGAACAGATAAATAATTTCAGTACACGTCTTCATGGCACTCCTTAGTTAATGTCACATGATCTGCAGTAGATCCCATTGCAAAGTAGTTCACAAGACATGTGGTCCATCTAAGGACAAAGAAATAAACATTTTTCAATTGGATGATGGAGGATTTCTGCACTAAAAAATTATAGAAAAGTTTACTATGCTGCTTGAAAAAAAAGATAGATGTGTCACATATTTAATAAGCCAACATAAACTTTAGCTGACATGCAGGATATTGTAATCACACAAGAAAAATATAAATGTTAAAATTTAATTAATGATCAACTGAAATTATTCTTAAGGGAGATAATACAAACCACAGTCATGTTAGGTACAGAAGTATGCAGGTCAGTGTTAACTTTGAACATCTGGCGGTGTGTCTGGCTTCCTTTTTGGCATGCCAGTATTCGGAAGGCCACTGTATGCATCAGTCTGTCAGTGCACTCCAATGTGAAGGAACAATGCAGGTGATTATGTGATGAACTCCAGATGTGATGGAATGGAATTTCCTAGACAAAGAATATCACTTATTCTCTTCCCAAAGGGTTGTTGCAAAGATATCATTCTGGCATTTCTGTTTTATCAGTTTTACACCTGACCTGAAGGTTCACAAGGCCATGTGAAGAGCAGCAATTAAATAAAATTTAATTTAAGCAACATAGATAGATGACGGTAATAGTCAGTGTTTCTCCTTTTGCAAAGAAAGAAGTCAGTATCCAAATATGATAAGAGAGGCAAGTTTCGACTCAAAAAATAAACAATTAAGATGGGCAAAAAGAATGCTGATTTTCACTGTTGAAAGCAACAGGCACAAATGCACCTTGATTGTTGTGAGAGATTTATCCAGAACAAAATTAGCTCCATAATTCCATACCACACTGCTTATTTTGCATAAAAAAATAAACAAATTGTCAAGAAAATATATATAGAATTATCTTTTCAAGTTTATGATATTTATTCACTGATGCTGAAAATTATCTAGGACTTTCTAAGAGTATAAATTCTTAAGAGGGTAAACTTTAATGCAAGTCACTGCATTTCTATAAGATGGGGAATTACTCTTCTTGAGTAATTCTTCCTGCCTACTTTCTTCAGATATGTTTAATATGGCTGTGTGAACATTTGCATGTTTTACTTACATGCTTCTTTTATAAGCATACTTTCAGATTGTGACTATATTTTACATTGCAAAGCTGCGGAAATATTGGCATCAGCCAAGTTTCAAATTGGTACCAGAGGGATTTAGGAAGTATTGCCAGTAAATTCATATTAGGTACTAAGAGTCATTTGACTCCCAAGTAAAATGTTAGCCATAATGAATCAACATGGTCAGAAACCCACTTCAACAAAACCAAACAGAACATGAATAAAATTCATCAACAATCATAAACTCAAACATATTTGAATTGTTATATTATTTTTTATTTCATTTAGACGATTGATTGACAAGATACTGAAGGGTATGTTTTATAATACTGTACCTCAGAAGCATATGGGCTGGTGGATGCTTCTGAGGTACAGAACTCATTTTCATCATTGACTGCATCAGAAGAAATAACCTACAGCACATCTAACAATAAAATACATCATCTGAATGAGGAGTACACGCAATATCTGATATGGCATACTTGTGAAATAAACCTATATGATAGTAGACAAACAGTATAACTTTGATTTATTAAGGGGCCGACACAATAACATCAAATTATTATTCACAATGCAATTTTATATAACTTGCATAACACACCTGATAGTCAGCCTGAGGTTTGCTTTTCCAACCTGGACCTATGTCTTCCATACTAAGGCATAAACTAGCACCACCATCTTGAAATAACATGGTCTTTGGTTTGTCCATTAGGCAACCTCCCAGCTTTTTCTCCATCTGAAGCACTCCCTGCATCAAACAATATTTACATACATTACAGAAACAGCACATTTTGACGTATTAACCTATTCAAGCAAGGATGTTCAGTATACAGCAATGCCTAGTATACCAAAGCACAGTAAATAAATTAAAATAAACCAGTCCCCTAGCATGGGAATACCATATTTGCCTCTTTACTTGCAGTTTGCAAAGACTTACCACATACATAAATTACCATTATCTTTTTGTTTAATATTTACCACCCCAGTCTGAATATTGTGATTGATTGGTGTTCAGAGTGTACAGCTGCAGTTTGCCATGCATGTAGTGTGTGTAAACTTGTAGACAGTGTTTTGGAGGATGGATAAAGTAACTTGCTTATTGCAGGATTGTAGTGTGTGGAATAACCATGTGAAGTTTCTGCCATTTACTGCAGCCTCTCCTGGAGATCTGTTTTCATCATTTTTCCATAAGTTTCTTATCCCATTGCTGAAGTTGGACTACAGTTAGTGCGTTTACTCTCCTAGATCTTAGCACAGTGATACTAAAGTCTAGGTAGTGAATAATTTAAAAAGAACTGTGGAACAGTTTCACAAAATGGCAATGTAAGGGCTAATACAATGTGTGAGTAAAGTGGAGGAAGAGCTCAGGAACATAAACAAAACTGAGTATCTAAAGCTCAGTGTTTCAAAATTTCCTACATCAGTAATCAGATTACTTGCTAACAACCCAGTTATTATGTGAAGATCACACAGAAGAATAAATTAAATACAAATTATATAATGACTTCAGCATAACTAAGAATTCAAATTTGAAAACTCCCCAGCTGTATACAAGTATACAAACAAAATTAAATGCACTATACTAAAGGTTAATTTATCTTCCATTGTTTACCTCATATAGCCAGATAACAACTAACTTACTGAAATGTGAAAACTCATTGACTATGATACAGCTCATGCAGTTAGTCCTTGGCTTCCAACTATGGTGGTCCAGGTTTGATCCCTGGCCAGATCATGTGTTGAACAAAGTGGCACTGGGGCAAGTTTCTCAGGGTATTTCAACTTCCTTCGCCAGTTCTTATTCCACCAACTGCCAAACATTCATTAATCATCCTACCATCCAGAACTACTCCTACATAGTCTCAATTTTGACAGTATCATTAAATGATGAACTTCACAACAATTTCAAATATTTTCAATTTTACATTGCAAAATAATACAGTGAAAAATGTTTCAGTGTTTACACTAACAGTATAAAGAATATGCCCCCTATGGCCCCAACAAATACATATTATTAAATTATTTTCCTCCAACATTCTTGTAATTAATGTTACAATCAGAAGAAAGTCAACACAATGCAGTATTAACAGAAGAGTTGAGGAAATATTACAAAAAGAAATCCTCAGTGAAACAGCGACATTCAAGGAATGTTCAAAAATATAATTTCAAAAATTTTCCTTTTGGGTGGATATTATATATATATAAATTTTATTATTACTTTATGTATGAAATATAAATCCACCAAGAAAATCCAAGTAATAAGTAGAATTTCAACTACTACAATTCATCATTCAAGTAATAACAAGTAACAAAGAAACAAGGAAGAGAAACATGATAAAAGCATAATGAAACTACACATTCTTGTAATTTCTGGAACTGAATAAGAATAATACTACACTACAGTATGTTAATTCCGTTTCTATTACCTCAAGGGCTGCCATGTTGTCCTCTAATGTGTACACCCTAACATTATAATCAAGTGATTGTGGATGTAGTATTGGTGACGGGGCAAATACTGCTAGTCTCAGTGTCTTCACAGCCTTGTTGCAATTTCCAGCTGATTCCCCAACCAGAACAAAGCGAGTGAGCTGATCAGTCACCAGATACACTTGTCCATGGTCCAGCTGTGTAAATACTGGAGTATTGATTGTCTCCTCACCCAGTGTCACAACTTTCTGCAATATTAAACATCACAAAGACTTGATAATTTCATTATTTTACAATCCTGTACTAACAGTCGAAGCAACATATGAAAAATTAAATTATATGTGTAGTCTTAGGTACTATCCTGGAATATTTTCTGGAAAGACTGAGAAATACTCAATTGATTCTTCCTGTTCCCAAACGAGATTCCAACTTAGTACCTCCCAGACACCAGTCACAAGTGTAACTCACTCTCTAAAGCTCATCAATATTTATGCATTGTGTCTGACAATCCTATAATTAATCACTATGCCATGAAGACATATGAGGAAGAGGAGGTACAGCCCCACCATTCTTGACCTCAGGACTGGAGAGGTGAGTGGTCAGCTTTGTGTCCCAGCAGCTTTCCCTCGAGGAAATCACCCCGGTACCCACTGGGCAGGCAGCTGAGTGGGATTCAGAGGCTCTGGACATTGTGGAGAAAAGGCTTTCTCCTGTTGGAATTTGAATTCCAGTCATCCAGCCTGTAGCTTGTCACTATTCTGATTGAGCTATCTTGACTCCTAGTGCAGTAACATTACTTGATTAAAGTAATATTTGCTTTACTAAATTCAGTTTTGTCATTCTGAATAAAAGGATTATCTGTTATCTGAAAGGTTCTCCTGTACTGAATCACTTGAAATTACATAATGCAATCTATGTCCATCCCTATTTTTCATTAGGCAACCATATTCAATGCAGGAAACGATATATTTTTCATCTATAAGCCACAGTCATAAACAGTAGGAAAGATGTTTTTAATGTGAATGTAATAACAAGTATCAATAGTTCAGTGTATTTTGTATGTGTCAGTTAAAAGGCAAAATTACTAAATAGATCTGCTATATACATTACATCTATTAGACGGGCAAAGCCATGCAAAGAATGGACATCCCAACTAGAAAAAGTCACCAAGATACCAGTTATAAATGTAATCAGTGAAATATATGAATATGTGATTCAACAGTGCTTTCTTTGATACCTTAAAGTTTAGTTCTTTAGTCAAGTTAAGTTAAAAAATATTTTTCTAGATGTCAGTAACCTCTAAGAGAGTATTGGCATTGTCAGTTTCATAAAATGAGTACTTTAAACAAATATAAATAATTATTTCTTCACTTTTTGCTAAGTACACAGATCAGTACTATTTGAAATAAAAGTTATAAAACTTATGAACTAATTGACTGAGAAATGTTATGTAATTTGATATGAATTTCAAGTAGAAGTTACTATGGATGAATATGATGAAACAATACTGTTGTCTTCTTAGATATTTAGTTTTTAGGTGGTTACGAACACTTCTTACAAACCTGCTACCACCATCTTCAGGGCAGAATTAAATATGAAACAAAATTAAATTTTCCCAGTGAGGATGATGTAGATAATAGTTGTCAGTGAGCAGATGCATATGTTTCACTACCTTACACTGACCTGCCACACCGGAGGCTCTTCTGGCTGTGAATAGCTGCACCAAACAGAAACACTCCAGTGCCCATGTTTCAGACTGGCGCAGTGATGAAAGTTCACAATCACTGGCTTCTTGAATGCTACATTTGCTGGACCACAAATCACTACAGGACTCAGTTGTGTCTGACGATCTGAAAATGCAAAATTAACAATAATAGAATAAAATAAAATTAAAAAATTATAAAACTTTCAACTGCACACTGTTAAATATCACCATGTGTACTCAGATGTGCTGATTTAAGAACCAAGATAGGAATTTTAATTAAATTCTTCATGGTAATCCTAAATGTAAGGACATCATTTTTATGCTCAAGCAATGCTACACTTCTTACACACCTGAAAGTTTTGGGCGATGTCTGTCTTCCCGGAGTACAGCTAGGAATACATCTTCTCTCTGTCCTCTTGATAAAGCCCCTTCAGGCACACTGAGTGAAATGCCAGACTCAGGTAGGCTGAGCCTGGCTCCAGCTGATGTTACAGTTGCAGAAACAATACATTCTGGATCTACACCAGCAATGATAGATGGTGGAGGGGTTGTTGGCGTAGTGGTTTGGGCTGCAATGTCATAAGTTGAATCAGGTTTGGAGGCTGCTGGAGAAATAATTACATAATTTAATAGTTAGAAATATTATTTTCCCTTTATCTTTTAATATTTATATAATTCATTGAAAGGAAAATATCTATATGCAATGAGGGCCCAAATAATTAACTAAGATATGTAATTCTACAAAACTTATCACTAAAAGAACCTTAGGATACTTGGGATTTTGTAGTTGCTTTACTTAAAAACTTAACAAAAGATATTTTCTTCTGGTCTGTTTTAAAAATAATTATTTGGTGGAATATATGTACAAGTAGTGGATACATTAAATAATTGGGGGGGGGCACGGAGTAGCGTAGTTGGTTGAGGGGCTATGCTACAAGCTGGAAGGTCGC